GGCCCAGAGAGCACCCACCGATGGCCTGAGCCGGGATGAGCCTGCTGGTGAGGCTCCTCTGGAGCACCAGCGCCTGCACCGCCAACACATCTGTGCCCCTGCCAGGAGTAAAGGGGTGCAGAGGGTGAGCTGCAGGCTGGGTCTATCACTGATTTAGATATGCGCAGATGAGTCCTCCATGCAGGATGCTGCGGCTAGTGCGCTGAGGGCAGGATGATTTGCCCCAGAGTACATGGCCTCCGGCGCTGCAGCCTCATCGCTGTATGCCCACCAACCCACGCATGCAACCCTTTTCACGCCGCCCCACGCTGCACACTGGTCAATGAGTCGGGAGAGGGTGCCTCTGCCCAGCAAGCTCTCGCTCGTTGAGTGTGTGTACCTGCGGGACGAGCAATGCCTTGTGGGGTCCAGAGTTCCTGGGCATGCTCTACACACTTCTATTCCCCTGCCTCCACCCATCTCACAGGAAGATGTGCAGGGCGACCGTGTGCGAAACGAGGAAGGGCGGCATGATGGCGTCCCTCCACCGCCGCCACACCCCCGGCCAGACTGAGGGCAGCAGCAGGGTAGCTCCCAGCACAGCAAAGTTGCAGACTGGAAGGATGTTCAAGAAGAGGGGTGGATGCAGGAGGGTCTGGGTCGGGCTGCCCATGCACCTTGTCAGCCAGCAGCAAAAATTGCAGGGAGGTGGAGCAACAGGCCCCACCTCCCCAACTCCAGGCTCCATGGGTCCCATTGGACTCACTCATCAACATCGTCATCCAGTCCATTTCATGAGCCTCCTTCAGCGTCTTGTAGGTTGCCACGGCGTGATAAGCCTGAGAGTGTCCCGCATGAGGATGCTGTCACGCCGCCGACACGGCCTCTGGACTCTCTGCGCTGCCTTCCCCACTCCCACTCGCCGCACCATCATGAGTCGCGTCATCGCCACATCGTTGCCGAGCTGGATGGTGCCGATGTACTGCCGGTATGCCTGCTCCAGGCGGGCGTTGGTGAAGTGCTGCGAGACCGGGAGCTGGAGTTGCGTGGGGCGCGTAACGCCCGGGATCTGGTCTGGTTCACGCATCCTTCCTGGCAGGGGCAACATAGAGGCAGCATGAGAGGTATGAGTGCATGCTTGTTGCGCGCTGTGACGTCCAGGGGTGGATTTTGGGCCTCGTCGCATGGAGGCCTTAGTGTAGAACCCCGGCCTTCATGGCATTGATTGGATGGCATTGATTGAGGGGACAGGCAGCCGCACTGGGAAGAAGCCTCTGCCTGTTTGCCAACTGGTACATGGCACGACACCCTGGTCGCTCGAGCTTTACAATGCATGCATGGTGGGGGGGAGGGGAAATGCAGTCAACTGGGAGCTGGCGGGTGGTGTGCTCGAGTAGGGGGGGGGGGGGCAGTGCGTTTTGTTCAGAAGGGCACTCGGGGCTCAGTCGGGTGTGCGGCAGGGGTCACCGCACCCCTCCACTGGCCGGTGCGGAGGTGCCGTCCGCTTCGTGGGTCCAATCGCAGCAGCAGGTCATTGTGGGTGCGGATCAGGCTCCACCCAGCCCCTCGAGTCGCAAGGAGGCGGGTCGGGGCGGTGCCTCACCCGCACGTGTGGCGCTGAGGTGGCGGGCCATCAGCCACCCAGTCAGACGGGCTGGGCCTCGCTGCACCCCCCCACTGCCAGGAAGGCGTTGACCATGTTGCGGGCCGCCAGCACCGCCTCCACCGGCCCCGACACCTCCAGCGCGCGGGTGGCCCCCGGCTCGCCCTCCGTCGCCGGGGACAGGTGCACGCGCGCCCCCGACACGGAGCGCACCTGGCTGATGTTGGCGCCGCCCTTGCCCATCAAGGCCCCCACCTGCGAAGGTGGGTTTGGGAGGGGGAGAGGTGCGCGTGAGTGGGGTTGCGGCTTCCGCGCAGCTCCCATCAGGGCTGAATAAGGGGCCTGGAAGTCACAACTGCCCGGGCGCCCGACGCGGAAGAAGGTGGGTGCAAACCCATCATGCCGATTCCTTGCCTCCACGCCGCCTTGCAGGGGAGAGTGCGGCAGCCCCCACCGCATGCGGCCCCACACGGGGGCCAGCGCCGCATGCACCCCCGCCGATGCCAGGCCCCAGATCACCCCGCCTCCCCTCCCCCCCCCCAAAAACCTGGGCAGGGTCCAGGTTGAAGGTCAGGCCGTGCTTCTCCTCTGCCTCGGCGCCGGCGGCGCCGCCGCGGCCGGCGGGCGCGGCCGGCCCGCGCGAACGCGCCGCGTGGACGCGCGCCAGCGTGGCGACGCCGCGCAGCGCGGCCACCACCGCGGCCACGCCGCCCTCCAGTGTGACCAGCACGGTGGCGTCGCCCGCTTCGTCGCTGGCCTCGCCGGCGGCGGCGCCGGCGCGGTCCGTGCCCTCGCGCTCGACGTGCACGGCGGCCCCCGTCTCGGCGCGCAGGGCGGACACCGTGGCGCCCTTGCGCCCCAGCAGGCTCCCCGCGGCGGCGGCGGGCAGGCGCAGCACCGCCTCGTGCCGCCCGCCCGCCTCCTCCCCGCTCACCGCCAGGAAGGCGCGGGCGAGGGCCTCCTGCGCCGCGCAGTGGGGCGCGGCCGCGTCCTCCACGCTGGTGGCCAGCACCACCGCCGGCGCGTCGCGCGACGCGCCGTCCACCACGCGCACTGTGGCCCCCGTCTCGCGGCGCACGCGCTCGATGTGCTCGCCGCCACGGCCCACCAGCCCGCCCACCGCCTCGGCGGGGACCAGCAGGCGCAGCGCGGTCTCCAGCGCGCCGCCCGGGGCGCCCGCCTCGGTCAGGCCGCGCGAGAAGGACTCGTGGGCATGGCCCAGGCGGCCCACCAGCTGCGCGTCCACGGCGGCGGCCACGCCGGTCCTGGCCGGCGCGGCGGCGCCCACCGCCGCCAGCTCGCGCGCGATGCGTGCCAGCGCGGCTGCCGCGCCGAGGCCACGCACCGTGACCAGCTCGTCGCTGACACGCGCGGCGGGGGGCAGCTCGCCACGCGGCAGGATCTTGATGTCCGCGCCGGAGTCGCGGCGGATGGCGGCGATGGTCGCGCCGCCCTTGCCCAGCAGCTGCCCGATGTGGGCGCCGGGGACCAGCAGGCGGAGGGGGGAGTCGCTGGGCTTGTCCCCGGCGGTGATGGCCGCCGCCGCGGCGGTCAGGCCTGCCACCAGCGTCGCGGCGGCCTCCTCGCCCCTGCGACGCGCGGAGGGGTGGAGGGTGGTGGGTGGGTGAAGGGGGGGGGGCCCGGGATGGAGGTGAGGCTGCCGAGAACGACAGCCAGGCGCACAAGGCATGCTCATGGCAGGCATGGGCGGCACGGCCCGCGCCCCGTGCTCGCCCTGCCCCGAGCAGAGCTCCCCCCATCCTGCGCAGGTGTGTTGCTCCTTCCTCAAGCCATGGGTCCCTTTCCATACGCACTCGGCGGCGGTGGTGATGGTGACCACGCGCGACTCGCTCCCGGGGACCAGCGCCTCCACGCCCATGATGGTCCCCGACTCGCGGGCGAGCTGCTTGATGGCCTCCCCTCCCTGCCGAATCGTGTGCGCGGGGGGTGGAGGTCTGGTGTGAAGCCCAGGGAGGATCAAGCTCAGGGGTCGGTCCCAGTCCCACCTCCCAAGCCCCACCCTCCCCCCTCGCAAGCCCAAGGGTTCCATGAGTGTGCAGGCCCGCTCGCCAGCGACCCAACTGCTCACCCCCCCTCACCTTGCCGATGAAGGCGCCCACACGGTTCAGGTCGATGACCACGCGGATCTGGGGCCGGGACACGGCATGCTCAGCGGACAGCTTCAGTTTCTGGGGCACGGGAGTGAGGTGGCGGGTGAGATCCCTCATACCCCAGCGCAGGCAGGGCGGTGATCACGCTGCGACACCTTCCTTCTGCACACCTGGACGCCATTCGTGACTCGAGAGCTGTCCACGATGCCGTCCTGGCTGTTGAAAGACGGGCTCAGGCTCGCGGTGTCGTCGGAAACTTCCCCGTCCGATGCCGGGTCCTGCATCGAGGATCATGTGCAACGCTTCTTGGTACAACCACAATTACAGCTTGGGTAATGATGATATGCCCTCCCTCGCGGAGCCTTTGAGACTGCACACCGCACACACGGGGGGTGCCTAGGAGGGAGATCCTCAACCCCGCGCAGAGGCTTACTTCACTCACCTTGCGTGGGGATGCCATCCTTACCACGGCGTGATGATAACACACCGGCAAGCACGTGTCCTTTGGGTTGCAAAGGCGATTACGGAGCAAGAGCGGTGCAACCTCCCGAACTGTACGAGAGGGCTTCTCAGGGGTGGAATGGAGCGGGGCGGTGTCAAGTAAACAATAAATATGATACACTCAGGGACTTGCCCGTACCACCTTGTCATGTCACTCCCATAGTGGGAACCAGCCCCTTGTGTACGAGAATCGTTGTGCCCCGTCACGGGCTGGCCCTCACCCCCGCGATTCGCGGTCACTCCAAATTTCGCGGGGGCAGCATCGCATGGAGGGTCAGTGTCCATCTTCCCTCATAAATCGATCCATTACATGTGAATGAATATGCAAGCGACGGTCCTGCCTGCCTGGAGTGGACGGGCAGGCTGCGGCCCAAGCCACACCCACTGTTTCCGACAAGGCGTGCACCCCCCACGCGTCCAGCCGCACCGACGGGACGCACACATCCGACTGCTTGCATTGTCCAAGGAAGAGGAGGACGAGGGGTGGATTGAGCTGGACCCGGAGATGCCGTGGTTGCAGGGGGAGGACGGGCCACTGGAGCGCCGGGTCTCCACGACATTCGAGGAGGGTCTCCTGTCCGATGTGGTGGATGAGGAAGCCATGCGGTACTGGTTCAGCGAGCCGCAAGGTGGGCTGCAGGGCGGTGTACGGCTTCCTGGCGCGCGGGATTGCTGCTGCCCAGGCTCATCGCCCTGAGACCATGTTCATTGTGCCCGACCATCCCTCCCCTCCCACACTCCAGACGGCTGGCCCACGGAGAAGCGGCGCGTGAAGCTGTTGAAGCAGGCACGCGAGGCCGAGCAGCGGGTGAGCGATAGCGCATGGCACGAGGATGCGCAGGGACGAACTCCCCTTCCCGGGGTGGTGGAGGGGCTCGCCGTCTCGGGCACCGTCACCTCGCAGATGAGGTACCTGGGCGTGCTGGTGAGTTGGGATCCTAGTGCCATGCATGGGCAGGATGAGGGCTGTTGTATTGCATGGGCAGTGAGGGATCTTTATGTCCAGATGGTCACCCCCGGTGTGGTGCTGTGCAGCATGTGCTGGTTTGGTGGGTCAGGGTCATCTCATTCATCCACGCCGCACGAACAGGGTCTTAGGGCGGTGCTAGAGTGTTGCTGCAACCTCCAAGCCGGGCCTCACCCACCACTCAACCCCATCCCTCGCTCGGCCCCCCCCCCCCCCCCCAGGTGGACTTTGGCGCAGAGTACGACGGCCTCATTCCCCTGAACGACGAGGCGACCTGGGACGCCCTGGGCAACCGCCTGCGGGTGGGGTCGTGTGTGGAGGCTCGGGTGCAGCGCGTGAGGGACGCGCGCCTCTTCCGCTACCCCGTCCAGCTGGCGCCCGTGGACCCCGCCCTCCAGGCCCTCCTGCCGCGGCCCGAGAGTCACATGGCCCCCATGGACCTGCGAGACGTGCGCATGTGAGCAGGGCTGATGTGTGTGTGTGTGTGTGTTGGGAAGGGGCAAAGGGGGGGGGAAAGGTGCTCGTGGTGCAGGGAGGGACGCAGATGGTTGGGCGCATGCAAGCTGAGCTGTGGATGCAAGGGACACCAAAGGCCTCTGGTACAGGCGACTCCGGCACCTATCGCCAACATGCCCCGCTTCCCCTTCCCCAGGGACCTGGAAACCCTGGCACGCGTCAGTGGCAGGCCGTATGAGGCGGAGAACTACACCTTCCCCGTGAGCATGGCAGGGGGGGCGCAACCAAATGCTGCCTCACGGCAAGCGGCCTGCCTACAGCACTGCCTGAGCCAGGCTTGTATTTTTCGCGCTTGGGATTTGAGTATCTAAGCCTCGACAGAATGCTTGTGGACTACCCTGTGGAGCAGCGTTGCGGGCCTCCTGACGCACGTCCTCCTCTCCCTTCCCTCCACACAGACTCAGTCGCAGCTGGACGAGGAGGAGGATGGGCCCGATCTGGGCGAGGAGGAGGAGGTGGAGGTCCTGACCGGGGAGGAGGAGGACGAGCTGGACTCCATCGCCGCCGCCCTGTCCAGCTGATGACGATGGAGTCTGGGGTACCGGCGGCTGGCCTGCCCCAGGATGGTGTACCGAGCGGCAGAAGAGGGATTGCCCCTGCGTCTGCGTCAGACTGGAAGCCAGTGTGACCCATCTGCTGCCTCTGTGCCGCAGTAAGGCCCTCCATACTCGCCGCCCACAAGTCCCTCGCCGTGCCTCTGTTGACCCAAGCTCTCAACCGAGTTCTTTCACTGCAACACCATGGGCACGTCGCCGCCCAGCGGCACGGGCAAGGAGGAAAGCGCGCATCGTCAGGGGAAGGGCATGCAGGGAGGGGGGAGATGGTGAACAGCCCACATGGGATGGCCTTGCAGCAGGGCGGCGCCCTCCGAGAAGGGGCGACGGGACGACAGCAGGCAGCCGCCTGGAGCTCAGCCAGACACGCGGTGTGTGCGCCGTGTCTTGCCCCCTCGCAGCCCCTGGGTCAAGGAGCGAAGACACGATCGTCACAGGGGCGCCTGAGCGCCGACCTCTTGAGCTTGCTTGGCCCGTTCTTCCTCCTCATTGCTCCCCGCGAGACCCTCGAGTGGGGGAGGTGGGTACGCCTGTGCAGGGAGAGGGGTCCTGGATATCCCTGACGTGCTGGAGAGGGTGTTTTCAGACAGGGTCCGCTTGTGATGAGGCCGCGGGAGGGTGGGGCAAACCACCGCACATTCCTCCTCAACAGGGTTTGTGCACTGGCCGGCGGCCCCTGGCACCCAGCAAGCATCATTGACTCGGCGAGGACGGCATCCCATGCAACCCCTCCATCACCGCCATGTGCTGATATCCACCTCGCCGCCCATGCTCGGACCCACCCTCAAAACCTCCTCCCCTCACCTCATGCTTGCCCGGGTGGTACATGGCTGCCATGAGGCGGGCGTGCTCTGCCGCCAGGGTGGCCGACACGCTGATCCCCGCCACGCTGGAGGTGGGGGCCGGGCCCGGTCCCCCCGTGGACGTGCTAGGTCCGCGCCCCCCTGGCGCCGTCCACTGCGCGGCCGCGGCCGCGGAGGCGGGCCCGTCCAGGGCCGAGCCGGGGCGCGACAGGCCCTGCACCGAGGCCGCCGCCTGCTGCGCCTGCGCGTGTGCGGCGAAAGCGGCATGCGCGGCCTGCGCCTGCGCCAGCTGCGCCGCCGGTTGGCCAGCCTGGGCCCCGAACATGGCCCCGGGGTCCTGCTCCATGTGCCCCATGCCGCGCTGCTGCTGCTGCGCGGCAGCGGCCTGCATGCCCGGGGGCCAGGCGTGCGGCTGCTGCGCCTGCAGCATGGGCGGCAGCGTTGGTGCGGGTCCGGGCTGGAGTCCGGGCTTGTGCCCAGCGCCGGGTGCGGGACCGCCATCGGTGGGGCCCCCCTGCCCCTGGCCCTGGCTGTCGCCGCGCGCCTGGATCTGCCCCCCCCCACCGCCGGGCAGGCCCCCCCCGCCGCCGGGAAGGCCCGTGCCGACCGGGGGCAGGCCCAGGCGTACCTCCAGCTCGGCCATGCGGCGCTGCATGGCGCGCACATACTTGAGCACGTCCTCCAGGAAGGTGGCGGTGTTGGCGCGCTCCGAGTGGGGGACCACCTCGCGCAGCGCCTCCAGGCGGTCATTTATGCGCGAGCGGCGCCGCGCCTCTGCCTGCTGGTGGCGCGAGGCGTAGGAGGAGGAGGAGGGGGAGGGGCCGGCGCGGGTGCGTTGCTTCTTGCCGCCCCCGCCGTCGCCGCCGCTGGTGGGGGAGGGGGGGGCGTTGCCTGGGGCCGGGCCCGGGCCGGAGGGTGGCCCGGAGTCGGGGTAGCCGGCCAGGTGGGCCAGGCCGGGCTGGCCCAGCAGCTGGTTGAAGAGGTGCATGGAGCTGGGGCCCAGCTGTTGGCCCGGGCCCGGCTCCGTTGGGAAGGGGGGCGGGTGGGGCAGCTGCCCGCCCACGGGCCCGAAGGCCGAGCTGCGGGCGGATGCGGCGAGCAGGGCCTGGAGCGTGGCGGGGTTCATGCCCCCCTGCCCGCTGTCGGGCTGTGCCTGACCGGGGTCGCCGGCCTCGCCCGGGTTGCGCGGGGGGTAGTCCATGGTTTCGGTGTGGAAGGGATGCAGGAGCAGCTCGCACGTGCTCCGTTCATATGTTTGGGCCAGCACGTGATGCACGGGAGCCACCCAGCCTCTGCGAGATCGGGCCCGAGGAAACCAGGGAACGCGAGTGATCTGGGCATAGCGCGCGGGGGGCCCGAACATCTACAACAATGAGCTAGGGGCCTCTCGACAAGCCAACGCCGCATTTCCAGAGCTCATTCTTTGGGAATGTGATAAGTCGCGTCATCGGAGTACCCCTTGCATATACCTGTGCTTGCCACAAACACTCATTTCCTCTCTAGGCCCCTTTGTGCACCATGAGCCTGGATTTGCCGACACACAGGCCACGCCCCAGTGGAGTCGCAAACACCAACGATGACGCCCAAGCTAGCAAGCTGTACGTCAAGATTCCTTGGAGCATATGGTGTGGCTGCAGAAGCTGTGTCAGAGACTATGCAAACCTCCCATCCCAATGCAGGTCATGCGTTCAGCTTGGGTACTTCCAAGACGAGTTTGTGCACCACTTCGTGAAGGCCCCCGTCCGACGCGCGCCCCTGATCAACAGAGGTGCCGCTCCTTGGGCTCGGTCGATTGTAGTTGGATGTTGTAGGGCGCGCCTGGGCTGTTGGACTTTACCTCATGGTGCACCTGATCGAGGACACCCACATGCCTACCTGCCAGCATGCTCACCAACTGAACCCCCAACCCCTCCAACTCACAGGCTACTATGCCAGGCAGGCATCCCTGCGCCAGCTTGTCACAAGGTTCCTCGCCTGCCTGCATCCGGGGCCTGTGCAGGTTGTGAGCCTGGGGGCCGGCTTCGACACGCTCTACTGGCAACTGGTGCAGGAGGGTGCGCCCATCTCGCGCTACATCGAGCTGGACATGCCGCAGGTCTGGAATTGTGGGGTGGGATGGTGGGTGGGTGGGTAACGTGGAGTGCCTCTGATGATCAGTGGGGATCGTGCCAGCAAACAAACACCCCCCGTGCAGCAGCCCCTCCATCGCACCCCCCATAACCATCAGGTCTGCATGGAGAAGGCGGGCGTCGTGGCGAGGACGCCCGCCCTGCTCCGCCTGGTGGGCGGCAGCCCCGCCGATGCGCCGGGCCACGACCCGGCGGCGGGGCGGTGGCTGGGCGGGGCATACCGCCTGGCCCCCGCCGACCTCCGCAGCGTGGGCCAGGTGGTGAGCGCGCTGGGCCTGGCGGGGCTCGACCCCGGCGCGCCCACCCTGGTCCTGGCGGAGTGCGTGCTGGTGTACCTGGAGCGGGAGGAAAGCGACGCCCTGCTCCGCCAGCTCAGCGCCATGCTCAGCACTGCCGCGATGCTGGTGTATGAGCAGGTGGGGTTTGTCGGGGAGGAGGCTGGCGGGGGAGGGCGGTGCGATTCGCTGTCGCAGCAGGAGGGCGCCGCGCTGGGGCGTGCCACGCGGGCCAGTACCACGCGGGATGCCTTGTTGGCTGCATCCCTCCAGTCTGGGCCTGGGTGCGGCGGCGCCTGCTCTTCACCTCCCCTTCACCCACAGGCATGCACACCGATGATACCACCGCGCCCCACCGCAGCCACCCCTACTCCTCACCCACACCAGGTCCGGCCCGACGATGCGTTTGGCAAGCAGATGCTGCTGAACCTGAGCCTGCGGGGGTGCCCGCTGCTGGGCATCTGCTGGGATGTGGACGAGCAGGCGGCTCGGCTGAGGCAGGCCGGGCGGGAGCGAGCCGAGGCAGCGCCCATGGACGCCATGTACAGGTGAGGGTTCCAGGGGATACCACTCCACCGCAATGTCGCTGGGCTGCAGGGAGACGGCGAGGCGCCTGTCTGGCACTCTGGAAACTGCAAGAAACCCACAGGCCTCGCCCGGTCATCTGCAAACGCAGGGGCCTGGAGCCGCGGGACCGCCGTCGCATCGAAACCCTGGAGATCTTCGATGAGTTTGAGGAGTGGGACCTCATCCAGGCCCACTACTGCATTGCCATGGGCGTGCAAGACAAGGCGGGGAGGCTGCAAGAGTTTGGCCTGCCTCGACCCGGCAAGACATGATCTGCTGTGCCGGAAGGTGCACGCCTCCCAGACAGGGGTCCAGCGGCGACGGCAGGCCAGAGCACACACACTCAGCGGGAGTCCCTCGATCCTGCTCCCCCACCTGAGGGACAGCTGCCCAGCCAAATCCCAATGCCTCCCCGGCAGGCTGCTCCAGGGGCAAGCTTGCTCGAACGCTGCCATCATGCGCCTCGATCCACATCAAAGGAGGCAATGGCACGCCGCAGTCGCTGCAGGTCGGCTTCCAGGGGAGCGCAGGTGGCGGTCTCCCCCTTCCCACACCCCACGCTGGCATTCAGGATGTGCAGCTTGCTGCCCGCCACCGTCACCGCAGCCAGCAGACGCTTCTTGCCGCGGGTGGAGTCCACCTCGTACTCGAACTCGTAGGTTGTGTTTGGAGGGGAACCCCGCACGCTGGAGGAAAGCATGGCGGTGCTCATCGTGCTCTCCTTTGCCCTCTCTGCGTAACATTCCATGGGAGGAGGGAGTGTAAGACCAGGAAGGAGGAGCATTATGATTGGGAGTTGGAAAGTTCTGAGCAGCAGCAAGCTCCCGTTGAGACAGCCCTGCAGCATGGGCCAGATTGTACCAACTTCACCTGCTGCCAAGATGCGTGTCTCCACGTCTCGTAAGCTGCCAAACTGCTCCAGGGACTGGATTCGGACGGGCAGGATGCTGACACCCAGGGTGTTTGAGGAAGCAGCAGCATCTTGGAACATGACATCGGCCCCAGGTTTGGACGTCTGAACACGTGCAGCAAGAGGAAGGGACTGGTATCGTGTTGATGCGGCAACAATGTGGGTTGCAAGAGGGCAACCACATCAGAATGTCCATGCCTAGAGTGAGATGGAACCCATGATGACCACCATCATATCGACCTGGTCTGACTGGCACATGGCAGTGTTTGGCCTGCGCAACCCCATGCACCAAGACTCATGTCACCTACCTGCTTCCATGTGACGGGAACAAGCATGCTGTACTGGCCGGGACTGGCGTATGGGACCAGATCGGGTGACACCTGCTGCCCAGCATCCGCTTGCATGGGGGCCGCACCCAGGGCCGTGATCAGGGCGATGTTCAGCAGCACGGCGCGCCGATGCTGGCATTCGATCAGGCGGTCCTGCTGTGGTCCTGAGACTGCTGCCAGGGAAGGGCATGGCCCGCAACGCACGGTCATGGAAGGTGCATGCTCAGGCCTTGTCCGGACAAAGGGACGCCAACGCTGGGTGGTTGTACAGGACCATGCGGCGAGCATGGCAGCAGAGGGGACCTCAATGCAACATGAATATTACCAATAGATGTACATGCAATGCTCTTGGCTGGCATATGTGTGTCCCTGAGAGCGGCCCCTGGCGCGGTGAGACCATCAGTACCAGGACTCATTGGAAGGTTAAGAAGAAAGGGAGAGCGAGAGCGACCCTCCCCCCGTTAGATCAATGCGAAATGGTGCACGACGAATGGAAACAAGGTGCCACGCGAATGCATCGTCATTGCGAGCAGAACCTCCCGACCTCAAAGAGTATAGAAAGTCAGTCCAGAGGGCTCGATCAGCATCGGCGGTTCCCACTGTTTCACCGATCACCGCACAGCTGAGTGCTGTCAACGGCACCCTGGCTTCCGTGGCGACGCTCGCCCCAATGGCCCAGGCTATCCCCGCCATCAACACGGCGGAGGGGGTGCTGGCTCTGCTGGCGGAGGACGATGATGCCCTGAAGGTGTACGCCCTGCAGCAGATCAACGCCAGCATCCACCAGTTTTGGCACCAGGCCTCGGGCTCCATCGCCACCATCGAGGCCCTGTTTGAGGACGAGGAATTTAGCCACCGGGAGCTCGCGGCCTTAGTCGCCTCCAAGGCACGGCGCCTTGTTGACTGTCCTTGTGTGTGGGGGGGGCCATGTGTCGCGTCCCCATGTTACTGTGGGGTGGCCATGCATGGCGTTCCTGGCTGCAATGGATTGCATGGAGATACACAAAGAGGAAGCACACCAAGGACACAGCGTCCTGGCCGCAGGACCGCCCCGATCCAGCCCCCACTACACCCCCTACCGCAGATCTTCTACTACCTGGGCGACCTGCAGGAGGCGCAGGCCTACGCGCTGGGCGCCGGCGCGCTCTTTGACGTCGACTCCCCCTCAGCCTTCGAGCGCACCATCCTGGACTCCTGCCTGGACGCGTACGTGGCGGCGCGCGCAGGTCTGGCCGGCGACGAGCCCGGCGATGCGCCCGCCTCGCTGGACCCGCGCCTCGCCGCGACCGTGCAGCGCGTGCTGGACCGATGCCTGGCCGACGGCCAGCACGAGCAGGCGGTGGGCATCGCGTTGGAGGCGCGGCGCCTGGACGTGCTGGCCGCTGCCGTGCTGGCGGCGGCCGACCCACCCACGCTGCTGGCGCACGCGCTGGACGCCGGGGCGCGCACGGTGGTGGAGCGCGGCTTCCGGCGCCGCGCGCTGGCCACGCTGGTGGGGCTGTATAAGCGGGCCGCGCCGGACGACGCGCCGGGGCTCGCCCCCGGCCTGGCCGCGCTGGAGGACGGGGAGGGCGTGGCCGCCCTGGCCCACGCCCTCCTGCGCCAGGGTGGCAAGCAGGTGAAGTATGAACGGGGGGGGGGGAGGTGCCGTTGCAGTTGTGTGTTTGGGAGCGCAAGGGTGACGCCGGCAGCAGAGCATCCATGGACAGGGCATGCATGAGCATCTGACGCTCCCTGCCCATAAATGCCGCTCCTTCCGTCCTCCCTTGCCAACTACCCCTCTTCAAAAACCATCGTAGGCGCTGCTGGCGTACCACATTGGCTTCGACCTGGTGGATGCCCAGCTGCACGAGTTCACGCGGGACGTGCATGCGCGCGTGCTGGCGCTGGCGCGCGCCAGCGCGCCGGCCGCCGGGGCGCCTGTCGAGGCGCGGGAGGGGGAGGGGGACGCGGCCGAAGAGGCGGGCCTGGAGACGCCGCTGCTGGGCGAGGACGGCAAGACTGACGCCGGCGGCGCCACCCCCGCCCCCGAGCTGGCCCCGGAGCTGGACGCTTTCCTGCGCATCCTGTCCGGGTCGGTGAGTGTGGAGCTGGAGCGCCAGTTCCTGGCGCGGGCGTGCCACGCGGACCTCCAGATCCTGAAGAACATCAAGGCGGGGGTGGAGGCCAGGAACAGGTGGGTGGCAGGTGGATGGACCGGGGGGGTGGAAGGGTGTCCTGGCGCGGCTAATGGAAGGGTTGCTGCCGGGTTGTTTGGGCTGGGAGATCGCAAAGAAAGAGGGGCGGCAGGGAATGGGCGACAGCGCAGAGCCCTGGTGCCCGGCGTGCTGTCCGCCTTGATGCCGGGAGCCAATCTGCCCTCTTGCCGGGCCTGGATCCCGCACCTGCTGGGCCTGGGTGCCGGCCCTCCGGGTGTTGTCGCCCAGGCCTCCATGCTTTCCCCCCTTTCCCCTGTCCCCTCACACCCCTCCCCTCCCCCTCCCCCTCCCCCCCCGCCTTCCACGCAGCGTGTGCCACTCGGCGACGGTGTGGGCCAATGCCATCATGCATGCCGGCACGGGCGTGGACGCCTTCCTGCGCACCAACCTGGAGTGGCTGGCCAAGGCCACCAACTGGGCCAAGTTTGGCGCCACGGCGGGCCTGGGCGTCATCCAGCGCGGCAGCGTGGCCGACGGGCGCTCGCGCTCGCTGCTCTCGCCCTACCTCCCCGCCGCGCCGGGCAGCTCCACGGGGTCGCCCTACTCCGAGGGCGGCGCGCTCTACGCGCTGGGCCTCATCCACGTCAACAGCGGCGCGGGGGCGGCGCAGCTGCTCACCGACTCCCTCCGCGCCACGCAGCACGAGGTGGGGCTGGGGGTCTGAGGGTGCCCGTAGCGCGCTGGAGGGGCCGGGGGCCTGCGAAGTTGCGGGGCGACACGAACGATGCGCGACACAGCTCTCGTACGCCCTCTCCCCTGCCCGGAACATGTGGAACAGGTCATCCAGCACGGCGCGTGCCTGGGCCTGGGCATCGCCTGCCTGGGCTCCGAGAACGCCGAGGCCTTTGAGGACGTGAAGAACGTGCTGTACACGGACAGCGCCGGTGGGTGAGGGGGGGGGGGCTTTGGGGGTAGTCTCGCCATGAGGCGCGTGCGACGCCCAGGCACGATCGCCGGTGGGCGAGGCGGGGGTCATGCTTGTCCCCCTCCCGGTCATGCTGCATGCCCGGGCCCCACCCTGCCACCCCCCCGCCTCGGTGCAGTGGCCGGCGAGGCGGCCGGGTATGCACTGGGCCTGCTGTGCGCCGGGTCCGGGCGGGAGGAGCGTAGCGACGAGATGCTGGCTTACGCCCACGACACCCAGCACGAGAAGATCGTGCGCGCCCTCGCCGTCGGCGTCGCCTTTGTGCACGTGAGTACTTGCCTGGGGGGGGTGGGAAAGGGGTGCTGCGAAGGGTGGTGAGCTCTGGGGAAGGTCGAGCAGCCTGCTGCCGAGGAGCACGCACGTGCCAGGCAGACGCCTGCGCCTGCCGACGGCCGATGGATGGCTGGCAACCCCGGCGAGCGGCTCCGCCCCTTTCTGCATGGCGCCTCCCACGACTTCGGGGTTTGCCACCCTTGCCGTCGTCAGGGGCTGTGTCGAGGCCTGGTGAGAGTTCCCCTCCAAACCTATCGACCCCGTAGACCCCCGCCACCCCCCAAAAAACACTTCATGCGCGCAGTACGGGCGGGAGGAGGCGGCCGACGGCGTCATCGACGCCATGCTCCAGGATCAGGACGCCATCATCCGCTACGGCGGCCAGTTTGCCATGGGCATGGCCTACCGCGGCACGCGCAACAACGCTGCCATCCAGAAGCTGCTGCACCACGCGGTCACCGGTGAGCGGCTGAGCTTGAGGGGTGGGGGAAGAGATGGGGATCCCGGGGGGGGTCTGTCGTCATGCGAGGACGGTCCTGCACGGTCCCCAGGCCTCAGCGTCGACCCCCCCACCCCAGCATCAATTTCCCTCCTTTCCACCCGTTCCCCAGACGTGTCGTACGACGTGCGGCGCGCGGCCGTCATGAACCTCGGCTTCGTCCTGCTGTCCGCGCCGGAGCAGTGCCCGCGCCTGGTGGCGCTGCTGGCGGCCAGCTACAACCCGCACGTCAGGTGAGCAGGTCGTGGGGTGGGGTGGTGGGGGCCAGGGCGCATGCCCACCAAATGCGCCAAGCCGCTCTGGGGTGATGCTTTCGGAGGGGCGCTGAGATGGCTAGGTGTGGATGTCCATCCCTTCTCACATGGTCACTCCCCTTCCGCTGCCCGTCCAGGTACGGCTCGGCCATGGCGGTGGGCATCGCCTGCGCGGGCACGGGGTCGAAGGAGGCGGTGGCCCTGCTGGAGCCCATGCTCACCGACCCCACCGACTTTGTCCAG